TTTGGGCGTGGTTGAGCCCAAAGAAGCCGAAACCAAAGAAAATTCGCATGTAAAAGAGTCGAGTAAAGACACTGCTAACCGTTTTCTTCAATTTCAAAGGAATTATTCACAAGGAATTTCTGCCAGAAGGTCAAACAGTGAATTCTGATTATTATCTCGGAGTACTCAATCGTTTGTGGGGGAGAATTCTTCGAATTCGACCTGAATATCGAGAGTAAGCTTCCTGGTCACTCCTCCACGAAAATGCCCCACCAAAATCGAAGATGGTGCGCGATTTTTTGGCCAGAAAACGGGTCACAATCCTTGAACATCCTCCGTATTCGCCAGATTTGGCTCCAGCAGATTTCTAGTTGTTCCCAAAAGTTAAGTTGGCAATGAAAGGAGACCGTCACGACACCATCCAGGACATCCAAAGGGAATGTACTGCAGTTTTAAATGCGATTCCACAAGAGGAGTGCAGTGATTGTTCTCGAAAACTTTTCAATCGATTCCAGCTATGTATTAATTCAGAAGGAGACTATTCTGAATAAAAAGAGTGAAATTTTGAGAATAATTCACATCTTGTATTTTTAATGAACACAGTCCTAACAGAACCTGGACATGCTGTGTATATACCTTAATATCCTAAAACCTTATTTCCCTAAGACCCATCCTTGTACTTGCACATTTTTCTCATAAGTGATTTCTTACCTTCAGGTTTACACACACGCTTTCTACATGCGCACACCCATCGCACCATCCTTGATTTACTCATATCAAAAATATTATTTGAAGAGTTCAAATTATTGAGCTCTTCAATAAGTAGGTTCTTAAAAACAAAAGAATGTAGACGCACAGAATTTCTAGAAAATTTGGATCAGAGACTCAACTCACTTTACGCTTCCTCATGAGGATGTGAACCTAATCCTTAGGGGCTTCCCCTACGACCGAGCTGCTGCCTCGCATATACGCGGTTCGTTCTGTCCTCCAGAAAATACTTTAATTTCAGAATAAAGAAAGGAAAATATAAAGAGAGAATAAACGAAAGAAAAAGGGGAAAGAATTGAAGTAGGAACTGAGATCGTAGCTTCTTTAGATGCTCTGTCACGTGTCTGGAATTCCCTGCTGCCGCCCAATCATCAATCAAGATACAAAAACCGAAACATCCACTTTTACAGTGTGGGGACAAAAGTCCATCTATTACGAATGTTTGTCAGGTGTAGACAGGAAGGAATAGAGACTACATTCAAGAACGTTGCAACAAACTTCTTGGCGACACACCCCTTTCAGGAGGGAACGTAATAGCCTTTGTACGGTACAAGCCACCAAGAGGAGAAAGGGCCCTCAGTATCCAAAGTTACACAGCGGCATAGGATTATGAATATTTTCGTGCTACAGCATTTAGTTTTGTAAGTAAAAGCGATTATACAATACTCGACCTGAGTGGGGTTAATGTGAAGGAAAATAGTGCAGCTTTGTAATGCAGAATAATTTATCGCAGACTTTCGTGGCTCTTACGAAAGGATTTTTATTTTTTTTTTTTACTTTTGCGTGACGTGTAGACAATAAACACGCAGAGCTACAAAACTTAAAAGCTTACGGAAGATTCTCTTATATTTCTCTTCTTTACAAACCTAACAAAAATAATGATCAAAGATCACGCGCTTTATAACGAAAAACGCTGTAAAATGTACAGATGGTTCAAAAGGAACATTCTACAAATGTTAAAGGAAAAGTTTAAGTGAACTAACGGGCGTGCTGAGTATACTACGGCCAGGAAAAGAATGACCACGAGTTGTGAGAGTTTAACTATGCTGCCTGTCCAAATACTACTCACATTGGCCACCCCATCACCCCACCTTTTGTCATCACCAGTAACAGAAAGAAAAGACATAGACAGTGAGAATGCAAGTGATAAATAATGGGAGTAAGGGAAGATACGCAAGAAGCCGGGATAGCTCAGTCGGTACAGCGATTGGCTACAGGTTGGATGACCGAGGAGTCGGAATTCGAGTCCCAGTAGGGTCAAGAATTTTCTCTTCTCCAAGTCGTCCAGACCAGCTCTGGGTTTCACCCAACCTCCTATCCAATGGGTACTGGGGGGCTCTTTCACCTGGACGTGAAGCTGACCACTCACCTCCAAAGTCAAGAAAATATGGATCTATACATCCACTACTCCATACATCTACGCTTAATTAGTTAAATCCAGGTCAACTTTACTTTTAGGAGAAGACATGCAGTGGATATAGCTGTTACGCACATCAGTGGAGGGGGATGTGTGTTCATTCTTCCGTGACTATACTCAGTAAGAGTATCTGTAGCCGAGACAAGAATAACCAGAGAACAATAGAAGGCAAATGTGTACGTCTTTCACATCTGTCCAGTCATACAACTTTTATTCAGGATTTCATGCAAATGGCCGGCTCTTATTTGTGCCGTAGCAAGTAGTGTCACGTGGCGACAGTTAAAAAATCTGCCAGGGCAGACCCGAAATGAACAACGTCAGAAAAGAGCAAGTGCTGATGGCGTATGCATATCTACCCCCCCCCCCATTCCTGCACTAATTATATGCGGCGGAAACCACCATCATGTCCCCTTCATAACCCGGCTGATGCTCGCTTTCTAATGCACATCGTGGCAAGAGCATCTGAAAACGGTTACGGAACAGTGCACTTAAACAAGTGGTGAAGTGTCATACAGAGAAGGGATGAAATGACAGTGCTAATTACACAAATTTTTCCTTCTATACATTATTTATATCCAAACAACGGTTTGTGCATAACTACAGTGCCATGTGGACTTATTGCGAAAGGTTATAATTAATAAATATGAATAAGGACTGACGTACTGAGGATGATAATATATGCGGTTATTCCTTCTTTTTAGAAAAAGAAAAATAGAGCCCTTACATATTTTGGTTTAGATTGAAATCCGATAAAATCCGAAAAATTTATAAGACTGCTGTTTCAAAACAATATTAAAGAATTTAGTACCATTGTCTATTTTAAGAAGGAAAATGATTTGAGGGCCTGCATATACTTTGACTTTACTTGAAGCTCTACGCAGCCATTTAACACGGATATACACGTATATAGCGTGCCATGCATCTGCGGTGCAAAAAATTTAAATGCATCATGTGGAAGAAACAAATGAAAAATATGAAAGCAAATACGAAATAATAGTTTACACTCCTTAAATATCAGAAAAAAATAGTAAAAAGAAATATTGTCATATTGATTCAGAATCATAATAAAATAATTATTTTTTTGACAAATTATTACCAAGAATGCCTGAGAATTGATTATTCATAAACAAGTTTTTGTTTATTCTGGAAAGAACTGAAACAATTGGAGGATACTTAATTTCGTCTAAATATCATATAATATTAAGCATTTATATTAACAATTATATTAATTATGAGTGCCATACATTGTTGTAAATGCAAATTCTTTACATCTAGTATATAACATTACTATACACATTTTGCTAAACATGGCTTTTTTATTATTACTGAATTGAATTGTTATCGTAATGATAACATTTATGTGTTTTGAATATTTCAGTGGGGCAACTTATTTTTGAACAACAGTTTTGGTACAAAGAATTTGTATCTTGACTTGAAAGAACTACCAATTATGGCACTGAACACTAGAAATCCCAGTATTCTTCCACATATGCAATTCAGTTTGTTTGCGTAAGGTGAAAATATATGTCATATTTATTAAACAACTGTGGTGTTCGTATTATACACGTATTTTTTGTATATAGATTTGTAGGTGTGTAAAACGAAGATTAAACATTAATTTAACTTCAAATAAGTATATTCAGCAGAGGAATACCAGTCACATGAGTATAGAAAAGGCAGAATCGCTTCGTGTATATTTTTAATCAATAAATTAATAAATTTAATTTTATGCTCGAGAATTTAGATATCCATGGCATTAATGAGTCATATTATGGTCTTCTGAAACGACATCGTACACTCTGGTAGGTTTTTACCAACATTTCGGAGTAACATTGTTTTCATCTAACCTGGAAATGACGGTAGTATATTTCTCCTTAGCAATGCTCACATTTTACCAGACTAAACGATGTCATAACCCAGAACACACAATATTAATTTTATATTTAGTAGTACATAAAATTGTAAAATAAAGAGCGAGCTATAATATAACTTGAAATAGACATGAAATTTTCAATGACAGTGTCAGGATAGAGGTTCCAAACTAAACTATATTCAGCTGCTCCATGTCAGTTAATTGTGCAATCACTCATATGGACATATTTTACGGTTAGAGACCATTCGTCCCAGTAAAATTTGGCTTGAGACTGGGTTGTCACAATAACAAAACTAAATGATGGTATATTTTTTAGCCCTTTTGAAACCTCCCAGTAAAAATTGGATCGAGACTGGGTTGTCCCAATAACATAACTAAATGAGGAAGTATTTTGTAGCCCTTTTAAATATCGTTACATAAAATTAAACCAAATTTTGTACAGGTGTACTTTAAAATATATTCTCAAGAATAAACCACGTATTGATTATATTTTCAAATGATATCCTACCCAATCAACTGACTTATTTATTGCCTAATGACGCAGCAGACCTATAGACTACCGATGTTAGTAATATTGGAAGACGGTGAGCCGATAGAAAAGTAGAGAAAGCTAAAATGTGAGACTACTGTATTACATTGCCTTTTTATACAACTGATTCATCAGACATCGAACTGTGACCATTTTACTTGGCAGGTCTTCAGGAAGGTAACGGCAAATTTTTATCACTAGTCCTACACTGTACTTCAAAACACGCAAACCTTATTCATTTTGTTCGATTTCACACACCATATGTGTACAAAGACATCATTTAATTATATAACATAGGCCCATATAAAATATCTGTGTCAAAATGACTGCTAACAGGTTGAAGTACGTACTTTCACCTTACCCTCTCAAAGGATTCAATCAAAGCGCCTCACGTGGCGGAGCACAGAGTTGCAGAACAGAGAAAACGTCAGTACCTGTTTGAACTGCCTGATGGCGCCATTGATGCGCAGAGAGTCAGCAGCGATTCCTGCTATGCCATCACCAGGTTCCCGCAGCTGCCGTAAGGAGACGCTGGGTTGTGTGGGTGCGCTGCCATGCAGGTGATGTACACACTNAATGAGGCATAGTGGGGTAATTATGTCTATGAAAGATGAATGGGGCAGGCTAAACATGAAAGCGATAGTGGTACATTTTAAGGAAATATCCCAGAATTATCTGAAGTAAGCCAAGATGAATCTCTTCAGGAGGACCGGTCACAGCACTGCCTCCAAAAATCAAACTCTAACCTCTCATGCTTTCAGAAAAGAGCATACGAGTAATATGCTGGGATCAAAATTTTCAATAATCTGCCATCTGATTTCAAAAGTCAAACGAAAAAGCGCCATTTAAAAACAATAAAATGATATTTAAACACACTTATTCTACTCGGTTGATGACTACTTATTGTCTAGAAAGTGACTCATCCACTTAAAGGCTGTGTAAATAACATAAGTTGACACTATTGACATATATATGTGGATATAATTTTGAATAGACTCATGCGTAACACTTGTTCTTTCTTGCGTGACAGTTGTACTGTACATATGTTTTTGTATTTGTACTGCACATTTCACATCCTGTAGTCATTTTAACTAACTTTGGATCCAGGGAATGCAATGCAATGTAATGTAACGTAATGTAATATAACAGAGGGGCCAGTCTTCCCCCAAATATGAGACCGAAAACAGAGTATCATATCTCTGACACGACCACTGGCCGCACTCAAACGCTATAAAGTTTAACGTAATTCTGTGCGTGGATGCTTCCATCCTTTTCCTTATTTTTTTTCCTTTCTTTCTTTATTGCTTCCTTCATACATCTTTATCTCACTATTTATCTTTATTTCTCTCTTCCTAACATCCCTTAGTTGCCTCTTTTTCTTTCAGATCCATAGGAGATTGGGACTTTATTTATTGAGTATATTAAAGTCTTCTTCAAAATCTCATGTTTGTTTTCAGTTTATAATAACTCTACCAGGAGCGAGCAGCGTATGGGAAAGTAAAATTAAAAGAAAAACTCCGTGGCCTCTAGTCTGCAAGCGAACTATGCCGACCGAGCGACCGCCGCCTCTCGGCGAAGTTAGTGCCAACTTTTAGCGGATAGAGGGTGTCACGTGGTCAGCGCAACGGATCTCCACGACAGTTAATCTCGGTGAAATTAAAATAAATGCGAAGAAAATTAGCATGTCAAAGATGCACACTTAGAATTACTCAAAGCTCTTTTCGGGTGACTGCACACGTTTTACAGATTAATCCGATTTTACGGCTGCAGAAACTTTAGCATACCAGACATCTCATCCATTTCTTTGCGGCCTTGTTCCTACATTGCCTCTAAATTTATGTGTGTGCATGCAGAGATACGAATTTATCGTTATAATCCTTTATGGGATGCCATTACTGACGTTCTTTTATGTGACTTTACAGATTGCTCCCTCTTACCGCGCAGTGTTACTCGTAAATGTCGAGACATTAATTTCACTTAGGAGTTTAGTGTCTCAAACACAAGTACAACACCAACAGAAGCTCAAGAATACGGAAGTCAGCTTTGCTGAGAACAGGAAGGTCAGTGAAGGATTTGAGGTTATCACAGCGGTTCTCACCAGCTTCCACCCTGGTTTCTTGGTCGACTTATTCTTCGATCATGAAGGTGGAGGTAATGGGTTCATCGAAACGTTGGTTAACTTTCAGCGGGCTACACGGCGTCATAGAAAACATGATTCTTCAATAAGGTCAATTTTTCCTTTGGAAGCTTGCCTGCCTGTCTACCTCTCTGTCTGTCTGTCTGTCAGTCCATCCATCTGAAGCGATGAAGTGATAGGCAGAAATATTCCTTCCTTTGTGTAGGCCATACTATGATGAAAAAAATTCTTTTAAGTTTCAGTAAGTATTTCTACGAAGGCACTACGCTACAATGCTATGTCAGAATATCAGTGAATTATTGTTGTTTCCTGGAACAGCGATATGAAGAGAGGTATTAATTTTTAAAGTTTGCATTTGACCACATGCGATAAGAAACAGGAAAGTAATCATGAAATCAAAGATAAATAAATGTGAAAAATTTGGTTAATACAGTAGTATACTGTTGTTAATATATTTGTTTTTTATTCTACAGTAATGCAAGATAATTTCTATAATGAGTATTTGCTACACGACCGCCTCTGTGCTCTAGTGGTTAGAGTTCCTGGCTACAGATCCAGAGGTTTTGGGTTCGATTCCCAGCGATACCAGATTTTCTGGGAAATAGTGGTTCTGGAACGGGGTCCACTCAGCTTGGTGAGGATAATTGAGGAGCTAGTTCAAGGAAATAGCGGCTCCGGTCTAGAAAACCGAAATTAGCGGCCGTGGAGATTCGTTGCGCTAACCACGCGACACCTTCTATCCGCTAAAGTTGGCACTAACCTGGCCGACAAGCGGTGGTGGCTCTGTCGACATAGTTCGCTTGGGGAATAAAGCCACGGAGTTTATTTGCATTTGCCACACGTTAGTGATAACGTAAGACTTATCTTATTAGTTTTTGGGAAAGCAAAACCTTGGTAATAAGTTATAACTCTTGTCACTTCTACGGGAGCAATGACTGGTTTTGAAAACTTCTCGTTCTGCAATGTTGTTTACAGTATACATTTCTATTTACAAACGCCAGACAGATCATCCAGTTTACTAACAAAGAGTCAAAATATTATTCCTCCATCAGGGAAAGTCGTTATAATCTAAACTGTGTAGATTTTAATGTAAATACTGAACGGTTTTATTTTTTCGATAACATTAAATTCGCTTTCACCAGGATAACCGGCACTGGAAGCTTTTCACTTTACCACAGCGGTCCTTCCAAAGTACTTCAAGAAAATAAATAGACTGCCTTTCTTCTACATTAAATATATAACAATCTTAGCATGTATTTGGAGGCACAATAGATCAATGTGGTCGCGGTGCAAGGGCCAAGAAGGCCCACCCCTTATACATATATAGCATCTATTTAATTTGTATTAACATATTATTTTGCTATATACTAATACATCGTTCGCCCTGTGTCGAGTTTATTCTAAAAATTTTTTTCCACAAAATAAATTTACCAAGGTGGCTTTGAACTCAAATTTTAATTCTTAAGGCTTCTGATAAAGAATGCTGACCTCTCTTCCTGTACCCTCCACTCCACTGTCATCAGAATTGCAACACAACTGAATACTAACACTCGCCTCGCCAAAGTGGCATGTGTGTATGTCTTGCACCTAGTGTAAGGAACACTTCCTGATGTGTGGAGTCATGAATTTGGCACTACACAGTTCTTTGTGAAGGCAGAAGACAACGTATAAAATCATCATTTTGTGTTCATTGAAAGAAGGAATTTAAGATACAAACTGTAGCCACCAGAGTAAATTTCTGCCGAGTTACGAGAAAGACTGTGAATGCATACGCACACATAGGCAGCATACATCAAGCTTTTTTCTTTCAGACACCATCCTAAATAATCCTCTCATAATTCGAAAATAATCCAGACATAAACTAAGCTTATCAATTAACATGTTCAATTGTTTTATACCGGAAAATTCCTCACAGCAAAACAAGAGCCAATAGGATACAAGATAGAACCCCGTTCTGTTTCATTCACAACAAGAAACAAAAGTTGTATCGGTGTTTGATTAATTAAGCGCCATACGCAGAAGACACATGGGAAAGTGGTGGTATATCCCCAGCATTCTTGACCTCGGCGCTAGATGCAAGTGAATGGCCAGACGTTCTTCCCGGCCAGGGAAACCGCCCCGGTATCCATAAGATGGGAGGCTGGATGGGCCGAGCTGAACGCTCTGGAGAAGAGAAGTAACTCTTGCCCCTGTCGGCTATCGAACCCAGGATATCAAGCCTCAAGCCCGTCGCTGTATCAGCTGAGCTATCCTGGCTCCTACCCTTTTCCATTTCCTACCAAATAGCGCTGTTTTACGGTTTGAATTCATATTTAATATTTGGTAGGTTTCGAGTTTATTCTCAATCTAGAATCAAGCATACAAACTTAGATTTTCATGATTTCCCTCAGTACTTCCTGAGAATTATTGGATATTACCAAATAGTCTCAGGCCTTCGGTTTCTTCCGTATCCCTTCTAATTCAACATTTAAAATCACCCTGTGCACTTGATAGATGGTTCTTACGTAAAGTAAGAAATAAAGAAATTAACACTTTTAAATAGTAGTTTTTGTCCCTGAAACAATTTGAGTGACATAATGAAACAAAATGACACGTGTATCGCATGGTGTGTGTTGGTTCGTTGGGCAACATTTGTCTCCAACACGAAACGGAAAGAAACTCCTAAAGCACAATGGCCTATAGAAATGCGCATTTCTTTTGTTCAGGGCTTTCCTTTTCAGCAACTCTGACACTGACATTTTTCATTTCAGTAATGGAAACAAATCACGATTACACCTTACACATGAATCCTGTAGCTGTTCATGTAAGGGAAACTCCCCTTATATTGGCGTCCATTCTCCGCGTCTTGGTTTATTCGGATAATACGTATGAAGTTCATTGCGGAGAGGTAAAGAAGAAAGAAAACCAGATTCTGTGGGCTCCCCAAAACCCAGGCACTTCAGAGCGGAAATTTCGGTAAAAGAAGTAACAGGGGCTTTCTTCCGTCTAATTAATTATAATCACCAGTTGTCAATACCCGACACACATCTAGAAAACTTCACTGTAACAAATATCATCGCATACGTTGGTTATCTATATACAGGCTACGAATTGTTGCATCCCACGTTAAGTGGGTCCCTTGTCACCACGGAATGGCACGTCCTCAGGCAGTGGATGGAGGACAACACGTAAATTGAATAAGCATTTGGAGACAGCCGACAGGGTTGGTCCTCTAGCTTGGGGGGGTTTGGCGTGAGGCTGATAAATTCTCGCCGTAAAAAAACAATTTTGTTAAGAAATGTCACAAAGGGCCTCGGAATTGGAATGTGGATAGGGTCAAGTGGAAGACCCTTGTGAATACGGTAATGAAGGTTCGAATTCTATAATATGCCTGGAAATTCTTGAGTAGCTGCACAAACGACGGCTTCTCATGAAAGGCTCAGCTCATGGGTTATG